CATTCTCCATTATCAGAATAAAAAGCTGCACAGCAGGTTGTTGAAAAGCCTGTTCTACAAAAAAAAAAAGAAATAATATTTCCACACAATATCCTATTAAACTTAGTTATATATTTTTTTCAATGATACAGTTAAAATAATAAATGTACGATATATTTCACCTACTTTAAACATTTTTCTGTTGTTGTCAAGAAAGATTATGATTGATTTTATACTGTTTAACATCCATCAGATGTCAACATTTAAATCATACTTGAGTCACAACTAGAGTTGGCAGGAGAAAGATGCATTTAATGCTCTAAAATTTGAAACTCTTCATTTGCATACGATGACTTCTCCATATTACTGAAAAATATTGACTTTTTTGTACTCCTCAGTTTGAAGAGAGGCAGAAACCGTCTATTTCTAAATGTTCTTACCGTTAAGCATTAATGTGAAGTTATATTCATTTTAATGGTTCAATTGTTCTCGAAAAGACTATAAAATATTGGAATTTAAAAAAAGGTGATGCGCCAATGACGTCTGGAACAGAACAGTAAAAAGTCCGATTCATAATCAATTCAGAAATTTCAAACAAAGTTCATAACAAACTTATAGAATTTAAATCTCGACAAAAAGCGTAGCTCATGTGCATGTTTTCTAGTTTTTTCCCTTTTTTTAATAGTGAATAGTTGAAAATCAAGGACACTACTAAGTTCAAGGCCAATTAAATTGTACAAAAAAAAAAAACGAAGGCTACGTTCTTTCAAAGTTCAAAATCTTAGAATCCTTTGTTTACGTTTTTGACAGATACTAAATTTCTCCATATGCGCCATATAATGTTCTCTTCGGGACATATTATTCTGACGTGTTGAAACTTTACAAAAATTTTATCTATGTGACTGTCAAAAATATAAAAAAAAAGACCAAGTTCCAATTCGGCATTCATCGAGTACAGTATAGTCAAATACTATGGACATAAATAAAAAATTTCAACTTCCTTTTGATAGCGAAACATATCTGTCACTATCTCATCAATTATCAAATATGTGTGAACTGCTAGGTCTCTTTCCTTGGTTCTTTAATTGACGAACAAATCTTTAGTTATTGTTATTATATACAGCCCTGCTATTCTTTAAGGACTCGATCGGATTAAAAGGCAAAGAGAATCGATGTTAATTCAATGCCGTTTTTGCATCTTCATGTTTTCACATTACTGAAAGCTCTGTGCTCGGAAGGTCTTGTGTACAAATCATGGCTGCAACTGACTTTAGTCGAAAAAAACAGTTCGTCACTGTTTCTTCCCTATGCTCTCGGCACTTTAAACTTGTATGAAAGCATCCTTGGGCAGTGTAGATTTAAAATGTTCAAATTTTGACTCCCGAGGAAAGTGTGGGTCACAATAGAGAATTAAAGTTTTACAATAAAATAATTATGTAGAATTTTTTTATATCTTCTTCTAAAGAATGCTTTGGCGAGAAAATCTAAAATCTACGTTCTATGTACGAAAAACTTCTAAAACGAGGTAAATAATTTACGAACAATTTGATGAGGCTAGAATATCAGCAGTCTGGTATAAAGTCATCATTTCATAAGTTCTATGGTCGATACAATTACCTCGTCAGCAAATACAATTTATCATTTAGACAAAATCTGACTGACTCGTTAGCCCATTATATAGACATTGAGTTGTCGACGGATTTCTTCGGGATAATTTTTCGAACATGACAAGGAGCACACGGCGAGTATGATAGGTTTTCAGGGGATGCTCACTCCTCCATGGGACCTGACTCCCCTTCTGATTATCTGGAATGTTTTGTATATACATATCTCATTCAAACATTACATCATCTGTGAGTAGTTTAAGCAATATTAAGGCTCTAAAGCTTCATAAAAGTTTCGGAGTAAAGTTCCATAATAAATCAAGGTATCAAAGTATTTTCAATAATTAACTATAGTAAAGTATATTTAATTATAGTAATTTTAGTTGGGGTATATTTCTTTTATGTTAAACGCTTCTTCCGAAAAATTTTCACCTATAAGGAGTCGTCACCAGTTACCGGTGAAGAGCTGCAAATTATGACCCATGCTCGTCAGTCTGGGCCATTTATCAGTGAGGGATCTTTTTCGAGGCAGTACCTACTACGACACGGGACTTTGGTTATACGGTCTCATCTGATGGACTGGTCTCCGATTCCCACCGTGGGATTTGAACCAGTGCCATTAGGATTAACTCTTTACTACGCGATTCTAGAGTAGACACCCTTACCACTGCACCACGTGCGCGATCCATACGTGTTTAAAGACGATTGGTTGTTACTTCATTAGTTTTTTGTTTGGTTGGTTAATGTCCCTTTAAATCAAAATGAAAATTCATCATTTGGGGGGGGGGGGTTGTTGAAGGTCAGCAAATGTACAAAGGAAGCCCGTGTTTTTACGATCTTTTCCGAAGGACCTGTCACAACGTCCAGCAATATGATTCGAACCCGCAATGTAAGATCAACTCCATCCTTTGATAGATATTCTTACCAATAAGCCAGTTCGATGACTCTTTTATTTGTAAATCAAAAATGAAGGCGTAAAAATATGATTTGCAATTCCCTTTGTCATGATCTGAAACAATTTCTTTCAGCTTGATGAAAGGAAAATAAGTTAAAACTTACCTTTATACCCTACTTTCTTATTTGTAAATTTTATTGATCTATATTTCACATTGTTTTGTACGATATGCTTTGAGACTACTTAGACATTCATAGGGAAGAAAACATAGAACCAACTTGTTATTACTTCCTGTTATCTCTCATTAAACTTTGTTGGAGATTTTGTCATTTTATTAAACACTCATTATTAAATTGAATACTTATCTTGTTCACATTTTATACAGCTTTCAAGTGAAATTCATAAATAACATTTATCCTATGCTGACTGTTTCATATTGCAACATGTTGTGTCAAAACATGTATACAATTTAGATATTTTAGAAAATAAATGCAAAATAATTGAATCTGTAATTTCATTCCATTTTGTGAAATTGGATTTTGAGTTCAACCCAGCGTAGATAAGAAGTTGATAATAATTATGATATCATACTCTAGGTATTTGCGATTCTCTTCAATATTGGGTCTAAGCTCCCCCGCCCCCTTTTCACAAATAAGAGAATATCGACAATTTGAGCTGCTCGATCACATAACAGCTACTTTATCTTGATTAATATAAAGATTGATCATTGTAACTGAATACTTTTATCTCATAAAAAGCACGAATACTAATATATGTGATTAATTCCTTTAAACTGCTACAGAGTATAATTACCAAAATTTAAAGTCTTTCAAAAGCCGAATTAAAGTACAATTAAAGAAAATAACTTTACTAAAAGACTTTTGTAAAAAAAAATATTGTATTCATTCTTATATTTTTTAAATGTATTTAAAAGTTTTGTGGATTGTGGTTATTCGAATTATGGCTTTTCGAGAGGATTTCCAATAAAAATGATTAAGTATTGCTAGTGTTTTACTATATTTCCATCGAACCTGGTTGTAATTTTCCGAAATAAATATAATTATATAAATACATAAATAACTGCCCACTTTATAGCATTCATTGAAATTCATGGACATAACGAATAGTATTCAAGCTGAAAAGTTCATTCTCACAAATCGAATACAAATCAGAAGGAGAACGAACGCGGACATCTCGAACATCAGAGGTGGGATCAGGCGCCATGGAAAAGTGTGCATCCTCTCAAATCAATAAGAAAATAAAGTTTCAAATCTATTCTTTTTTTTAAAAAATGAGAATAACAATTTGAACTTTTATTTACTATGTGAAAACTTTGGAACTTTGATTTACTATAGGAAACTATAGTTAACTATAGATTACTATAGTATTTTTTTTTTGTTAGAGTAATTCGACCGTTTGACTTTTCTTAAGAAATAAGGTATCATTTTTTTAGTTTATTGAGATGTAAAACGGGTTGGCACATGATCAAATCTTCCATAAAGCCCTTCTTTTTTGAGTTTATTGAGATGTAAAACGGGTTCGTCACGTGATCAAATACCATAAAGCACGATCATGTGCCAACCCGTTTTACATCTCAATAAATTCAAAAAATGATACCTTATTACTTATATATTTACATTTGTGATTTATTCATACTTTGAATTTGCCTGATTGTTACTTTTAAAGAGCGAAATGCGTTATTTTTCAAACCCAACGGCATGTTTTTTATCCACTAAACGCGCGTCGATCCTTTATGACGTCACACAGAGATTATGTCGAACGTTTATCCAAACGCACATCTATGACCTCTTGACCCCGTACATGTATTTATACAGTTATAAAAACGGTTGCTTTCAGTAGTGTTTATAAAGGAAAACATTTGCAAATGTAAATATAACACTTTATACTATAAAAAATATGGAAATAACGAACAGTATTAAAAATCAGAAGTCCATAAAACATTACAAAACAGGAGCAGAACAAGAACAGACCTTCAAAACATCAGAGGTGGGATCATGTGCCATGGAGGAGTGGGCATCCCTTGCCGCCATACCTCACGAAAATACTATTTTTCTATTTCTGATTTTAAAAAAAAATGAATTAACTTGAAACTTTTATTGTTTGTGTATTGTGTTTGCTATGATTCATTTTTTTTAATCTAAGTAATATGTTTTATTTCTGAGTATACACCTCTCTGTTCATATCCAGACATTGCCACCGCCTGGCATATTTTGCTATAAATACATTTTTCTCGTAATTGAAGAAATATGATCATCAAAACAACCAACAAAAGCAATAAACCAGTACTATAAATGACGATTGTTATTCCAGGAAGTCTTGAAGACTTTTTTTTGTGAGATTCCGACAGATATATTTCTTGAAGCAGTCGTTGGTATTTCATTAGAGTCTGGAGGATCTGAAAGATTTTGTAACCCTATTAGGTTAAATAATGACTGTGTGCACTTTATGATATATTTTCAAATTTAACATTGCAGAAAGTATCTGTGATAAGGGACACTCACTACAGCCATAAGAAATATCACACTCGTCTATGGAGCAGTTACAGTCTCCGTCAAGGCATCGATGTCCAAACTTTGGATAGGGACAGGGGTGAGAACAGTTAGGTCCAAAGTATCCTAAGGAGCAATCTACGAGTGAATTGAGTATGTAACTAATATTTATGTATATTTCATATAATGAAGTGTTCATATTGGAACAGACGCCTGATAAGTGGGTTTGATCAATTTTTATACAAGTGAACACAAATTTTTATAATATAATAAACTATATTTTTATTATATTATACTGTTTTAAACTTTTGTAAACAAAATCTAAAATATATGCGAACCTCTGCACTTTCCTCTCTTTGAATAAAAGTCAGGGAAACATTTCTTGGAATTTCTTAAAAATCAATTAATTTTTTTTGTAGATTGAAGACAAAATAGATTACAAGTTTAAAGATAAAAACTCTCAATGTAAATATACATACACAGAGCACATAGATCCATTGTACCAGCACAAAAATGGGGTTAAGATCAATGTGAAATGATGGACAAACATGATCTTTGCCAAGCCTAATACTGTTATATTATTTGTATATCTTGTCTGCAGCCAAGACCTAGAACTTGTTTTGAGTTATGGTGATATCGTAAACAATTCAACGTGAAATTGACACTAAGAGCCCTTAAGATTTTATGTTGTTGTTAACATTCAAGTTAATCAAAGTTATTTTATGCAAGACAAATGAAATTAATATAACAAACAAAAACATAAAAATAATTTTCCGTCAAATTTTAGAAAACTTAAGCTCTTGTCACTTATGCCTGGAAAATTTACTAAATTGCTGTTAAAGTTGACGTCAAAGAGCACCCTTGTTTCACATTACTGCAATCTACACCAATTAAATGGCTAAAATAAATTCTTGAAAACTTCAAAGGGACGTTCCAATTTCTAGGACAATAGATTATTTCCAATTAATCGGTCATACCTGTCACGATCCCTATGTACTCATTATAAAACGGAATAACCCTTTTTAAATAAAGTATAATAATAATGGCCTAAGAATCCTTACAAACAAAGATACATAGCGAGTTCCAGTAAATGTTCAACCAAGCCTTACTCCTCACTAAGATATTTACGGTAGTGAAGGAGAAACTTCAAGAATACTGTGCAACAATATATTCAAGGATGTGAATACTTACAAATTCCAAGGAACTTTTGGCAATTTGAAATTACAAGATCTACCAAAATCAACACCTTAAAAACCTCCGACTTTACGACTTTTCAACTTTATACACAACCATTCCCAACGATAAATTAAAGTCCAATTTTTGATATCATTAACAACTTCTTTTTCAATAAAAATGAAACTCGTAAATTAACTTACCTTGTCATTGGTCATTTCCAAAATTATTTTTCTATGGTCGATACAATGACCTTTTCAGCATATACAATAAATCATTGAGTCAAATGCTGACTGACGTTTTTCATACGAATTGTTAGTCCATTATTTATACACTAAATTGAAGACGGATTTTTCCGTTATTTCCTGATCATGACAAAGGATCACATGGCGGGTGTGACCGGTCAGCAAGTGATGCTCACTCCTCCATGGCACCTGATACCACCTCTGATGGTTCGGAGGTTCGTATTTACTCTGTTCTTACTTTGTGTTGTTTTATAGTTTATGGAGATTGAATACTGTTCATTATCTCGATATCCTTCTTTGTTAAAAATCATCCTGATTCTACGCACAAGTGTTCTGAAATTGACATCAAAAAGATGCTTGAGTTTCTGATTGATAATATCTATGATTTTGGAGACCAGGTCTTCCAACAATCTATTGGAATTCCCATGTGTAGTAAGTATTGTCTTTATTATCATTGTTACACTCTGAAGAGCCGTAACGGCGAAAGCGCTTAGTGTAAAAAATTAAACGTAAACTTGTTTGTTTATCTTGGATTTAATTTTGATTTATAACTTAACCTATACCATGGACTTCTACAACATTTTCCCTATATATATATATATATATATATATATATATATATATATATATATATATATATATATATATATATATATATATATATATATATATATATCAAATAATATAACTTTTTATAGGTTGACTATTCAAACCTTCCTAAAGTTTGATAAAATTTTACAAGGTAAATGATTATTTATGTGAAGGGAGAGTACGATTTTGATAGTATAAAAACTACCTAGATATGTTTCTTACTTAATGTTTACCAACTATTGGTCTTTTGCTAGAAGCACTGAATTTTACAGTTGTCGATTTACTTTGACATGGAAACCAAAAACCTAAATATGTTTGTTAATTATTGCTTTTTAAAAAATATTTTCTTATTACTAATTTACATATTATTACATTCATGTACGGAGGTACAGCATTGCCATGTACTCTTATTTTTTTTTGTCTGTACCCTTGCACACATGTACGGAGGTACAGCATTGCCAATAGATAAGAAAACAATTCTAGTGGCCATAGGTATGGTGCTAGGGACACTTTCATGTGAAGGCTGGGAGTTGAGGGTAGGGTGATTGGTGTTTTCTTCGAGGAAAACTAATATGTGCTTTAATCATAAAGTAATCTTATGTAAAAGTAAGCTGTCGATTGTAATTAAGTCAGTGTTCCTCGCAAAAGTCCAAAAGTAACAATTCGGGGTAATGTTAACTTTTTATGTATGTTTGAAAATTATAGAAATTTCTTAATGCGTTATTGTATAATAAATCATATGTTCCTGGAAAAGCCTAATTTTTGATACATCAGGAGGAAGGGGCACGTAGAATGTAAAGAAATATTCTGTTTCGATATATCAATATACAGACTTTGAAAAGTGTTGAGAATTTTCCAACAGTTTTTTGGACGTTTTTAGATTAAAAAAGCACTACTAGTTGTGTTAGTAGTTTCAGGTGATATTTATCAGAAGTGAAGATTGGAGATTTCTGAAACTTTAACTTGACCCTGCCAAGAGTCTAATGCATCAACCTTCAAAATGCATTCACCTTCGTAGTAATAAAAAGATGCAGCTTTAATCTTTAATGTATGAAATTTATTTTATTAGCTTAACCTCAATTTTCCAAAAGGGTTAACTTGAAACAAACAGTCCATAAAAATATAACGTTTTGTTAATAATGAAAGTTTAATCATTTTTTGTGCAAAACTTATGAATGTAATAGGAAAAACAAATACTTTTCAATATACTTCTGGAAATCTCAAACTTTTGTCTTTTATGTTTAGGGTCTTGCCTATCTTAAATCTCAAGTTTAAGTTCTGGCTCAGTTAACAAGCCAAAGAAAAATACATGTATAGGGTGACACAACACTTCTTTCAAATGGCAGTTTCATTTTCAATTTCTTGCATCAATTAAATGGCTTCAGTATTATTCCAAAAGATAATAAAATGAGTCAATCTAAAAAACTGTAATCGATCAAATCCTATCACATTTAGTTTTAATATTCAAGCACTAGGGTCTTTCATCTATTTCAGCGTTAATTCCACTATTATCCAAGTCTTCTTGAAGTGACATTGTCGCCGTCTCTCATTCATGTGACTGTCTTTGAATACATTTTTGTCTCATTTGATCAATAACAAGTGTTAATGTAAGGAGTGTGACAAAGCAACCAATCACATATATTATCGTTGTGACCGCATTTAGTCTAGATGATTTCTTTGCATATGTCATGTTTGAGAATTCCTTCTCTGCAACATTCAAATGTATTTTTTAGAAGTTGGACATTCTTTTCAAGTTAGTTTAATTGTGCTTGAATCTATTATTTATAAGATAATGTATCAAACATTGAAGGTTTTTATATCGTTAAATTATATATTTAAGTTTACAGATTCAGATGAATGACAAATTATTAATGCCAAATTAATGCTAAATTAAACAAAAGATAACTTATGTTCAGATTTCTGAAACAAAAGCTGAATAGATTGCAATAAGATTGCATCTTCATCACCTGCATATGGAGTTTATATCTCTCAGTTGATTCGATAAGCAGGAGCATGTTCTACGTATGTACAATTTTTAAAACAAGGTAAATTATTGACAAACAAGTTGATGAAACCAGACTATCGATAGTCTAGTTGAAACATTTCATGAGTTCTATTGTTTGTAAAGTGACCTTGTCAATACAATTTATTAATGAGTCAAATTATTACCCCACTCCATTATTACCACACTGAATTAACGATGGATTTTTCAGTAATTTCCCGACCATGACAAGGAGCACAGGCAGGCGTGACTGATCAGCAGGGGATGCTCACTCCTCCATGGCACCTGATCCTATTTCTGATGTTTTAGATGTCCGTGTTTGCTCTGCTCCTATTTTGTATTTTGTGGACTTTTAAACTTGAATACTATTCGTTATCTCCATATATTTCAATGCAATGAATAAAGGGATTTAAAAAAATAAAAGATTTATATTATTAATTATCTAATGTTTATTATATTATTTATTATCTAGCGTTAATGATACATGTATTTTAAGAAATATCATTTTTACTAGTTCATATTAATACATGATTACCATCATAACAGCCGTTTGCAAGGTCACAAAGTCTGATTGAACAGTTGCAGACACCTTCTAAACAACGACGACCATAATTTGGATAGGTACAGTTGTAAGCACAATGGCGTCCATACGATCCACGGGGACACTCTATAAATAACATGTAAATTTTGTTTCTTATTTAATATGGAGATAACTAACATCTAAAGAGGCATCCTGGAATTACATGGAAAATGTAGAGAGAAAAGGTTTGGCTAGATTTTCCGTGTAATTCCGGGACGCCTCTACATTTTTCATCGTCAGAAATCGGCGCTTCCGTTGCTTTCAATTTCTGTACTTGGTATAGAAGACGTTTTGGGCTTACTGTATGTTTTATACGGCAAGTTCAAATCGGCAGACGTTTGAAAGGCGTTATTCAATCATTTCTAAAGCTAGATCTCACCCGACACCGGTAGGAAAAATGTAGAGATTGATTGAAATAAAGTGTGAACCGAGGCACCCCCTGAAATCCAAGATAGCGAGTGACTCTCCTTTCTTCTTTTTATATATAGTAAATATGACATTTTTAAAACGTGCTAATTTCAGCAAATTTTTATTTTTTATTTTAATGAGGTTATTGAGTCACACCTACAAAAACACATAATACAAAAAATACACCATCCTGAAACCAAGCGCCTATGCTTCAAAGGAGCTTCCAATACATTTGTATATACGTTTAACTTTTCAGCCGTTCGTTGCACGAGTACGACTCATTCAGCCATTTTTGTCACAAGTGATCTATATATTGACGTCATTTTCAAATTTTGACCTCACAAACATGGAGCAAAACATTTTATTACATATTCTATCTATAGAACATTTGTATGACTCTTTGTGTGCCTAATTT